TGGGGTACAGGCAGGAGGCTCAGGGCAGGGAGTTGGGGTGTAGGGTGCAGGAGGGGTTCGGGTTCTGGCCCGGCGCCGGTTACCTGGAGCGGCTCCGGGGTGGCAGGGGCATGCATCAGGGCCAGGGTAGGCTCCCTGCCGGCCCCGGCCCCGTGCTGCTCCGCTCCAGGAAGAGGCGGGCACCGCTTCCCTGCGGCCCCGGGGGGAGGGGGAGCAGAGAGCTCCCTGCGCTGCTCTTGCCTATGGGTACCTCCCCCGAAGCTCCCATTGGCCACGGTTCCCCGTTCCCGGCCAATGGGAGCTTCAGGGGAGGTAACCACAGGCAACAGCAGCACACGGAGCTCTCTGCGCCCCCCTCTCTCCGGGGCCACAGGGACACGGTGTCTGCGGCTTCCCGGAGCAGCGCAGGGCCCTCAACACCATGTGGTTGGCAAATCCGCAGGCCAGATCCAAAGCCCTGAGGGGCCGGATCCGGCTGGGGGGGGACAGGACGCGGCACGCTGGGGAGGGGACGGGGGGGCAGCGGGGAGCTTGGCGGGCCGTAGGGAAGAACCCCGCGGGCCACATGCTTGAGACCCCTGGTCTATAAGGTGCCACAGGACTCTTTGTTGCTTTTTACAGATCCAGACTAACATGGCTACCCCTCTGATACATGAACACATACTGTTTTTTCCACAGGACCCCTACCTCATTCAACGCACAGGATGGACAGTGCTCACTTAATGACTAGTTATTCAATATTTAGTTCAGTGTGTGATCCCAAGCTTCATTTAGTGCACATTATTCACTGGACACAGAAGTAGTAATTTCCTCATCAGTTTTTCTATGGTGCGCATCACTATAGTATCTGATTTGTTCACAAATGTTAATTAAATTATGTTCTCTCTCTCTCTCTCTCTCTCTCACACACACACCCATGAGATGAGGAGGTGATATTATCTGCCTTTTATATGTGGAAAACTGAGGCAGAGAGATTAAGGTCAAAATTGTCCACTAATTTTGTGTGCCCAATTTCAAACACTTAGGGCCTGATATTTCAGAGTACTTAGCATTATAAAGAAATTTCTATGTTCAAATCACAGCTCCCATTGAGTTCCGTTGAAGCTGTGAGTGCTCAGCACTTCTGGAAATCAAACCCCAGGGTCTCAAGTCAGGCACCCAGAAAATGAGGACCACACAGTTAAAGGCCACCTGTGAAAAGTCTGCTTTAAGTGAGTTGCCAAGCATCACACAGGAGCTCTGTGGCATAGACACAAATAGAATCCAATTATCCAAAGCAGAATTAAACTGCCTTATCCATGAAGCCATCCTTTCTATTCCTGCAGTCCCCTGCTTCATTCACTACACACCTTCCAACTTCTGTAACAAATGAGGCAGGGGTCGTTCAGACAACAGTCTCCTTCACTTCACAACCCTGATGCATCCTCTGAATAGGTTTAATCCTGTGCACTGAATGAGGCAGGGGTCGTGTGGAAAAAACAGTATGTGATCATGTAATTAAAGATTTGTGTCGTAAATACAAAGGGAGGCTTAATTCTGGCATTTGCTAATTTTGAGTGTTTTATTGTGCAACCTTAATGTTCTATTCATGTAGATTTTTTAAATGTAATTTCTTAGGTATTTTAAAGAGCAAACTACTTCTTTGTCCCAATGTACTCCCTTCAACACTGCCCCCCACCCCCCCAGTCTGGCTCCTGTCCTCTTGCATTCAAGTCAGGCTGCTTCTTTCGCCAAGATGCCTGGGAACCTGCAAAGTGAATACTGAGAGCAATGGAGAGACAAGGTTCCTGCTACGAGTGATGCCCAGCACCACAGCAGCCCACAGAAGCAGTTACAGGGAAAGGCCTGATAAACCTCTATGTCCCTAGGCTGTAGCATATTCAGTACAGATGGAACCTTTGCAGAATTAAGCAGCTAAACTCTAACAAGTCTCCACTGAGCATATATGGACTGAGAGTTTTAAAAGGCTTATAACTTGGCTAAATTTGGTCAGATTGATTCAGGAACAGCAAAAGGCACATCCCTGGCATGGGGGCAACCACCCAGACAAATTTCAAGCACTTGTTCCAAAGCATGAAGGTGCTAGACCTGCTCAATTCTTGGAAATGGCTGGATTTTTGCTGACGCTTTTTCAGAAAAATGTAGCCTCATGCAGACAACCAGCATTAAAGGTTTCATCCTGAAAGGTTTAAGATTGGCAAAGTTATAAGCAACTGAAAACAGGGTCTTATCATGAGAACCTTTGGCAAACCTTCACTAAAGGTGGCACCACCAGCTTTGCTTGTAATAATAATGTGTCTTCAACCCTGAACTATAAAACCCTTATTGCAACTTTGAACTACATCTACAGGACTACTGAACTACTGCAATCCTGAACTATGAAATGTACTTACTGCAACTCACTGTGACTTTAGATAATCTAGTCAACACAAATCGGACACATGTCGCTGTGTATTTAGGTTTAACTATTTTGTAGACACATTCACATAAGAAAAGTTAAGGGGTGTTATCGATTGTTTAAAACATGGTTTTGAAAGTGCTAAACAAACAATTAAGATGCAATGTCAGAAAAAGATCTCGAAATGTGCTGGGTAACCCTTTAAAGGATCTCAAGATCTGTTCCCTCTCCTTTTCCTTGTTTCCAGTGGAAAGGATGTAACAATATGTTTCCCACTTCTGACATTGAACATTTATAGTCTTATCAAAAAAGAAAATGATTAAATGGTGTGAAATTTTCCATTACACATGCTCAAAAAATATCAACACAAAATTCTGAAAACCTTAAAAGTGCATAGGCTCAATCTTGCAAACCTTATTCTCTTCAGTAATGTTAACTCACATGAATAGACCTATTGGGCCTAATCCTTAGGACTTTACTCAGTTTTTGATCAGTACTTATTCAAATTCCTCAGCTGCCTTGAACAAAACTACTCATGTGAATAAGCACTTGCGGGAGTGCCTTTTGTGTTTGCTATCCTATACGTCAAAAACAGTGGGACCAAATATTTTCAATCTTGGGGAGAATATTTACCCCAAGGAAGAGACTAACTATTCCAAGTTTCTCCATAGAATTTCTTCCCCAAAGTTATATACAATGGAGAAGGAGGTTCATAAGAACCTAAGAATGGCCATACTGGGTCAGACCAAAGGTCCATCTAGCCCAGAATCCTGTCTTCTGACAGTGGCCAATGCCAGATGCTTCAGAGGGAATGAACAGTACAGGGCAGTTACTAGGTGATTCATTCCCTGTTGTCCAGTCCCAGCTTCTGGTTCATACTGGAAGTGTCATTCCCTCCTAACAACAGTGGGAATAGTATGCCTCTATAGTAGATATATTTAACAGATGTGGCCAAAAATCACTGCCAGCTACTGATAAAAGTCATATTCTACAGCTACAGTACTTGGAAATTGGAACTATGCTTCGATGGATTGCCGAGTTGTATTTCAGAATTATGACATCATACCTGTAAAACACTATATAGCTATTCAAGTACAGCAGAGCTTTGAAATATGACTATTTAAAAAGAGGTGTTAAAAACAACAGCACTTTTGCTTATATTAAGTATTTACAGTACTGTCACTTTAAATGTCTGCCAGAGTCATGTTTTCTAAACACCACTTGCACTCACCATCTTCTCCAACAGCGTAACGTCCCATGGCCAGTTTTTGAAGTTTTAAGTGTGTCTTTCTTGTTGGAAAAGCAGGTTTGCACGTTGCCAAAAACTGACCTTTTAACTCTCAAGAAATTGCTATGGGGACTTGCTCTTTTCCCCAGCTGCAAATTGAAGGTGGAGGCTGCTTTTAAGCCAGGAATCAGAAAAAGTCTTTGTTCGAGTGCCATAAATGCAAAATCAATATTTTCTGAGACTTTTGAGATTTTTTTGGAATGCTGAAGGAACTTTTTCAGTTAAAATTTAGTGATGTCACAAACACTTCAAGGTCCTTGTGTTTGTTTCTTCTTTGTTCTGCCTTCCCCCTTCATTACTGACATCTTTTTTTAGTTTCTTGATCTCCTTTTATTTTGTCTGCTTTTGCTCTCTTGTTTTTTCTCCTTCTGTCCGGTTTGCTTCCTCGTCCCCCTTCCTCTTCCCCTGCAAATTCTCTCCAGCTCTCCGCTCTACTCTTCTTCTCTCAATCCCATGGTTCCACCATTCTACTCTTGCTGATTTGTTGCATGTGCAAATGAAGCAGCAAAGTGGAATTCACAAGCTCTATAGTGAGTAGCTCCTCTACTTTGTCCCATGTGCAAATAGTGAAGGAAAATATAATTGACCAGGGAATAGAACGGAGGTTCCTTGTTGTGCCTGGATAGAGACATTGTTTGCCATACTCTTGCAAGTGTGTTGGGAGCTGCTTACCTTATTTTAAGGTATGGTATCCTTTTATCTGGAAACAGACTACTAACCATAAGAAATATTTCTTAGGTGAAAAGGAAGATACATGTCATCTAGCCTTAGAGAGACTTACCTTTAAATACACACAGTAGGAAAGCTATCAGACAAATATCTAGGGGTTTAATGATCGTATCAGAAAGCACTTGAGCTTCCCATTTTTGATCACAGTACCATTGGGACACTTTGCTGTCTGTTGTGTTTATGGGCAGGATTTTCAAAATCATTTAAATGACTCAGGTGCACAAGTGCCAATCCCATCCTATGTCTTTATATCTGAATATTAACCTCTCTCTGTGTGTGTGTATATTTATACACCATTATTGTCCTTTAGATTGAAAGTTACCTCTAGTGAATAATAAAATGTCTCAAAGTTCTCTATTAGTTACTTTTCCAAGCAAGAAAGAAATATTTGGCGCTATAAATTTAGCTCCAGTCAAAAAGATGGTATAGACACACAAAAATATACATATATATACATATAAAGAGAAACATGTGTGTGTATATTTGCATCCATGCAAGTTTATGGTGTAAGAGAGATAATACAGCATTATACACACACAAAAATGCTGTAACAAACAATTAATCAATACTTTGCAGAATTTTTACCTTATTGCACTTGCAGATAAATGGCCATAGGAACCACTAGCTGAAGAACTGCTACGGGAATTATTGAGAATTGTGACCAAGGAGTTTGGAGATGTCCGTATCATGGTCTGAAGGTCAAAGCTATGATCAGACAGGGGCGATATGGACAGCGTACGCTTTCGGCTTGGTCTAGTTGACAGCCTTGGACTCGGAAACCTGGCACCTGTTATGTAAACAAAAATAATTATCTACCAAAGTACTCTCCCCCGTTTATTTATGACTCCTGGCGATGGGTATAAAGAGTCACAACATGCTGTGACAAGCCCACTCTTTCCACTTGTGATCTACTGGCTACAATTGAGGAAAATTAGGAGGAAAAATTTATCTTCCTGTGGCTTACCTCAAGGGAGCTCTGTTTATTAATGTGCAAGCAAAATGATAAATTGCTAAACAAAAGGAAAAGACTTTTATATGTTATCCCTCTCATTTCTGGTGATTTATGAATCTGATGGCTGCTTAGACATTCACATCATTAATTCAAGCCCAAGCGATGAGACAGTGGCTCACATCAGCGCTCCCTGAAACCCCTGCCACTTCAATGCAAAGAGCCAAAAATAAACTTCTAAAATACAAAATAGAGATTAAGATGCAGCTTTCCCTTTGCTGATCATAATTCCGCCTGGCCAATGCTAGCTGCAAAAATAAAAAGGATGAATAAAATAATGCCATAAAACAATGCTCTATCAACAGAAGTCATCAATTCGACATTCACAGCATTAGGCTAAGAGACATTAGGATTTTATTTCAATTTTTTCAAGTATCTAAGGAGATTTGTGGGGGAGGATATAGCCATTTTTTTAAAACTACAGTTTAAGCTTTTCAGAGCAGGGCATGGGATTCAGTCCCACATCTTCCATTAAAATGAACAGAACATGAATGGCTAAATTCTCTGTGGCTTTGAAAACTTTCACTATTGGGTCTGTACTCCTCCTGACCTGTAACCACAATTCTATCAATGCTAAAGGGAGATATCACCTTCAACTTCATCTTAATATTGATTCATCTAATCCTCCATTTCATTGTAATCAAAGTTCTAGAACCAAATTATGTGTATTGAAAATAATACCACCTGTACTTCTTATTTCAATCAAATAAACTGGCAATATTGGAGCGTGCCATGTAATTTTGATGTCCAGGGCCACACACTCTTGGTTCAAGTCCTATTTTTCTAACTGGATGGCTTGCAGCTCTATGTAACTTCTCAACAATTTAAGAGTAGGTGACAGGTTTCTGTTATCTTTTCTTCATACTTCCCACTACTTGGTGCTCTAGACCAGTGGTTCTCAAAGCCGGTCCGCCGCTTTTCAGGGAAAGCCCCTGGCGGGCTGGGCCGGTTTGTTTACCTGCCGCATCTGCAGGTTTGTCCCTCGGCCCGCGCCGCTTCCCACAGCCCCCATTGGCCTGGAGTGGTGAACCGCGGCCAGCGGGAGCCGCGATCGCTGAACCTGCGGATGTGGCAGGTAAACAAACCGGCCCGGCCTACCAGGGGCTTTCCCTGAACAAGCAGCGGACCGGCTTTGAGAACCACTGCTCTAGACCTCAATTCAGCAAGATACTTAAGCATGTGTGTAAGTTTAAATAAGTGAGTAGTCCATTGACTCCAACAGGACTATCCATGTGATTAAAGTTAAGCAAATACTCAAATACATAGTTGATTCAGGGCCTTCATTACTGTTATAGACAGCTGATGTAGAGATCTGCTCTTTTCCCAAATTTCCTGATGTTCTTTGTTTACACATTTCATGGATATGTTCAACTAAATGCTTGCTAATTTTATTGTTAAATATAGTAAGACTGACATTTTCATTTTAGGCTCTCTCACTTTGCTTTTCTCCTGCTGGAGATTTTATTTTGAGGTAAGTTGACTTTGTATTTCATCCATTTCTAGGGTATGCTTGCAATCCAGATGTAATCTTTGACTATGATTTGTTGGTTTTTTTCATACATTATTTTAATTCTCAGTTCCACTTACTAAACATCTCCAGAATTCATGATTACTTAACAAATGTTGCGGCTAAAACTACGGTGGTTCTTTCCTGTCTCAATTCTTCCTATAGCTTTCCAACTAATCTTCCTACCACTACTCTGTCTAACGTGCAAGTGGCACAGAATCACAGGGCTTGTCTTAATTTTCATTGCTTGCAATTTTCTCACTTGACTCTTCTCCTTAGACATCTGTATTGGTTGCCCTTTTTTGTGTGTGTTCAGCCAACATTCAAAATCTGGCATTTAAAGCCACTGTTTTATGGTTGATATAATTCTGTGATCTGATCTCTGTTTATACTCCCCCTCATAAACTGGGCTTAATTTGGAACACTCTTTGACCTTGGCTGCTCTGCTAAGACTGCCAACAAGGGTATGAATTGTCTTTGGGATCTGGGTTCAGGGTTTGGGTTCCCCCCCCCATCTTTATTCCTCCAGTCTTTCACTGGATATTCATGCTGCTGAATTATCATTTAAAACTTCAGCTTGAAGATTTTATTTTTCCCCTCGAGCTACTTCAAGCTATTTTACTAAATCTGTTTTCTCTCTCTTTTTATGAGCTTGTTATTGTACTGTGTGTACGTCTGCTACTTTATTAAGTGCAGTGTCTTGATACTTCTAAAGCCTGATATGTTTTATCTCCATGAAAGTACAAACATTGATTAGTGGCTATAAAAAGTTGCTATGCATTTACTAAGGATATACAAGATCCATGTGATAGTAAAAGAATAACTACATAGTAATATTTTGCATTTATTTAGTAGTTTTCATCTATACCTCTCATGTGGGCCAGATTCTCAGCTGATATAAATCGGTACAGCTACACTGAAGTCAATGGAGTTATGCCAATTTGCATTAGTTAAGGAGCTGGCTCAAAGCACTTTAAAAGTGAGTTATTATTATCTCCATTTTACCAAGTGGATAACTGAAGTACCGTCATCCAGAGTGAAACATCAAATGAGTGGGGCAAACAGGACTCTTTGCACAATCCACTAGACCACAACTGAACACTAAATGGTCTGTTATTCACAGCATTGTTATTGTCGTTATTTATAATCCTCCTTGCTATGTTCTACGCCAGCTGACACACACACCCCTTGTAGTCACATGGATAAAAGCATCAATCATTTATTTTCCTCAGATTGATAGGAATGGGATTGATCACAAGACACTGGACATGCTCATGATGAGGGAAGCATAGATCACTTTCTTTGGATAAGCGTGGCATTGTTTCATGTTACAGTTCTGTTTTTAACATGAGAATCCTGACCTCTGCATAGGGATGTTACTAATGATAATTTAGGAAAGATTTTAAATTCAATTTTTAGGACGTAAGTTTAAAAATATTTATTCTGACTGATCAGAATTCCAGATCTGAATGTGTATAGATAGAGGTGACTGCCATTTACTTGATGTAAGTGTCTTCTCCTGGGGAATTTGTTAGAGAATTGCCAAGAACAGACTGACTGTTTCTGATATTGAAATGAGACAATGCTCTGACTGGGAAAAAGGCAAACCACAACTATGTTTATAAATCAAATATCAGCTAGTTATGTTTTCCGCTGCAAATGAGAGATGTATTCCAATGATTTCATTGGAAAATGAAGTGATCATTAAAAATACTATAACATGAACCCTGCTAGATTACATTTCTCATCTGAAGTGAAAGCTTAGACAGCCTGATAAATGATCTACAAACATAGTTGTAGTCTGCCTCTTTGCTGATCAGAGCATTTCTCATTTCAGCATCAGAACTTCATTTGGCAGTTCTTTACCCCATTTCCCAGGAGAGGACACTTATACCAAATAAGTATCACCCACGTCTGCACTACCGCTCGGAGTTTGAAGAGAAGCATACTCATCCTTAACAAACTGCACAGAGCTACCAAGTATGATTATCCTCATCCTGGTGCCCCACAGACTTTCAACAAACGCACGACTCCCTCCTTCTCCCTTCCCTCTCTAAAATGAGCCAACCCATTCCTAAGTCACGCTATGGCAGTGTGAAAAGACTCTTTTCCTCAAATGCTCATAAACTCTTTCCCTCGTCCCTCCCAACTGCTATCAGCAGCCAGCTTTCTCTTCAGCACAGAGCCACTCTGAGCTCTGGGCCAGCTCATCCCTGTCCCCTGGCTCTGTTATAGGCACAAAAGTGTTCTGGCCAGAGACAAAGAGGTGGTTTCCAGCTGGGAAAGGCAGAGCAGAGTGGATTTATAACAGGGAGCCTTGACTCAGCCTTATCATTCAATAGCCCCAGATTTTCTTTTCTCCTTGGGACAGTATGCCATAGTGGTCTCACCTGGATCTAGAAATTAGTCAGACCCCAACTTGCGTCTACCTGGGACTTGGTCAATTTCCTAAGGGGTAACAGTTCTATGTGTAAACAGAGAATTCCTGTGTCACATGAGATGATTGTTACGTCCAAATGAGAGCCCCACAGTACTTGGTAATGGAAGAGTAGGACTGGCTTCAAGTGAGGCAGTGACTTTCAAAATGGAAAATCCAATTAAATTAAATGACTGTTTTTCTTGTATTCACCATTGAATTAGGTTTTACATTCCTAAAAGGTTTTAAACATGAGATGATCATTCATTATGTTGCAAAATGTTTAGTATAACAATATTCTGAGTTCGTATATTACTATAAAAAGAAATAGATCACAATTTATAAGCATCTCTGACTGCTAAAATAAACTTTGCAGCTTTGCTCTGGCATATATTTTAAACACAAACACTTCAGCGTTTATTAATTTGAGATGTTTATCTATTCATAGTATTCTTCCAATGAAGGATCGTATTCCATTTTTTTAATAAGATTCTTGGAGACCAAAAATGCAGAGCTGGTGATTCACTAAAAACTCCATTTACCTTCTGAGCAAGCACTGAAAAACCATCAACTTTGGAGGTGAGAGAAAATAGAAGGTAGGCTGTGGCGTTCTATAGAGCAGAAGACAGACTTGTTTAAGAATCTAGTCCTTGTGGAGTAGATATTATACTCAAGGAAATTGTAATAGCAGCTAGTGAAGCTTTGAGACAGGAATGTGTAGGCAAAAATCAAAGTGAGTGTTCTAAGTAAAGACTTATTCCGAGGGTGGAGCTCATTTCTAAAATAGCTGATATCAATTTCAATCATTACTTTCCAAAATGGAATATGCCTTGTTGCAAATTGGTCCATGAATTCGATTTCTGAATTCAAGTTTTTAGCATCAATTATTATGGAACAATTTTCAGACGTATAATTTTATTCCTTTAAATCATATTTCTTCAAACATGCCAAAGGAACTGGTCTTCTTTGAAGGCTGTGAACATGACAGGTTTGAATTTCTGAAAATAAACTAGAGCTCTGTGAAACTTGGTGGTTTTGGTTCACAGGCACCAGTAGAAGTTTGGTTTTACTTTATGAAAGTACACATCCTGAATTTTGTCTTGGTTTCCAAACCCATAAATCCCTTGATGACACACAGGGGGAAGGAATGGGTCTACTAGCCAAAACTTGTCCCACTGTTTCTTGAAACTCAGCCTACATTCAGGCAAAAGGTCACACCTCAGTAAGTCTTACAGGGTGGGACTGTCATAAGCACTCAGTGAGGACCTAGCTAGCTCTGCTCCCACTGAAGTCAATGGGAGTTCACCAAAAAGTTCCCACAGAGCGAGACTCCAGAGCATATAGGATGTTTCAACTCCTTGCACAAGAACCAAGCATCCTGTCCCCCACCCCAATAAAAATGGCTCTCCAGCACCATAAAGCAGGAAGAAGGCAGAGTGTTCCCCATACTCTGTATAAAGCTCTGTGTCCATCTTCTGCATAATGCACATGGTTATTATTTGTATTACAGTAGAGTCTAGAGGCTCCAGATTTGATCACTGTACTCACTGCTGTACACACTACACCTTCTCCATATAGTAAATTCAGAACATTCTCTGTTTCTGACCCATTGTTGTATGGAATACGTAAGCAGGGGTCTTTCAGTGGGTCAAATCAGCTATTTTCTCAGAATTTGGTCGCAAATAATGAGGGAAATTATCAACTTCTTTTTCATTCTTTTTAACAAAATGGGGCAGGGTGGAAAGAGGACTTTTAAAATCATCATAATGCAAATATGGGCATTCTGATCGTTCAAAAAAAAGCATCTTAATATTGGTTTCCTGCTAATTGTTTTGTTTCTCTTTTCTAATCTAAAATTCTGACAAAGAAGAAAGGGGTTTTCTTTAGCATGATGAATGATAGGACATTCAGATGCCTACTTAATGACAATTAATTTACTGTATATCCATGCAAGTTAAGATAGTTTTAATTAGTTTTCACAAAGTAAAAGGGTAACTTCATCCTCTCTTTAGATAAAAGAAGCTATTGCCTGACTAAACACATTCTCATCAAATAGAGAAGGTGAGACTAAGTGACCTTCTTAGGATTCGCTCTTATTTTAATTCTCTATTTACTGTTTAAAATAACCCATTTGCATAATACTGCTTCAATTTTTTTGTCTTTAGTACTGAAATAATCCCTAATTGAAAAGTTGCTGCTATAATGAATCGCAAATGTGTGATCTCAACTTTAAAACCAAACACAAAACAAATTAAAGTGCATATATCAAATATCTGTACAGCTGTCCCTATTTGAGATTATGTTTAGGACAATTTTTTTTATGAATGTACAGAGATTATATGCATCAAAGATCAATATCCTTTCCTTTAAGCATATGTGCTGGAACTAGGGGTGCGGCAGCATCCCCTGGCTTGAAGTGGTTTCCATCATATACAGGATTTACAGTTTTGTTCAATGGCTTTCAGCACCTCCACTATACAAATTGTTCCAGCACCCCTGCCTTTAAGGAAAAAGAGGTAATTATTTGTGATGCTGAAGCTGTAATTCTATGCATATTATAGCAAGCTCAATCCTCCAGCCTTTACTCCACAAGTCAGTCTTTTGATGTCTCTGGTGTTATTTGTGTAAGTGATACAGAATTTTATCCATCTCTTTAGGTTTTCCTAGAATGCCCATCATGGTGGTAGGTAAGTGCTGACCAGGCAAATTACAGTAGGTCAGCATGCTAGTTTGGATTGGGCCCATTATTTATCAAGCACTTTGGGATTCAAGGGATTATACACAGTGGACCAGATCCTCAGCTAGTGTAAATAAGGATAGCTCCATTGACTTCAGTGGAGCTACGACAGTTACACGAGTTGACGATGTGTCCAAGTGTGATTATTACACTTACATGTCTTTAACCATCCATAAACCAGAAAATGAATGTTATAATAAGTTGCTATTAATATGTGACAAACACATTAATAGCCCTTTATCCCCCCACCCCCAACTCTCTCCCTTCTCTTTCAAAACCCTTTGAAAAACTCCATCTTCTGTGAAGCTTATCAGAAAAAATGTCCACACAGCAGATTCTGGTTTTCATAAGCACCTCTGAGTAGGAAATGAGTATGTTTGGAATATTTTAACTATTGTAATTCACCATGCACAGTAATTGAATATAGAATATGTAATTGAAATTGAATTGTTAAAAAATGTGCTCACCTTCTTTACGACTAATAGAATAAAAACGTTTAATTTGCACACTCAATTCCTGCATAATACATCTTGCCTGACTTGCAAAACTTATCAATCACTTATTTAACATATATTTAAATGAATTTCCTTGTAACAGTGACTTTCTTATGTCGTCATGCTTTCTACGTGTGAGCCTCATAATTCTTACATCCTATGCAGATTCCTTGGGATCAGCAGCCATGGAACATGGTCAATAATGAGATATAGACCTGAAGAAACCACATGCTGGCAAGGAGTTAAAAGAGTCACAGGCTAAACCATTGCTCTAATAGCATAGTATGGCTCTGTGCTGCCACATGAGAGGCAACACTGTTTGATTCCTAGCCCCAGTCTCTTACTTCCCAAGTTATGGTGGAGAGGGGGGAATGAGAGGATTCCACAGACAGCATTAGCAGCTGATGAGTGAAGTGCTTTGCACAACTCAATACTAACAGTAACTCCCTTTGGTTGACTAAAAAACAGCAGTGAGCAGCTTCAGATGGAGTGCTCTCCACTCAACTTTGCTGAGAGAAATAGAGGCCACGATAAAAGGTCTTGAAGATGGTGCAGCAGGTGGAAGGAGGTACATAGCTTAGATATTTGAGGCAGCATCCTTGGGGATTTGGCCATCCACGTTGCCTGAGCCAGGAACAATCTCAAAGCTTAGTCAGTACTAGAATACATATTTTTTAAACATATCTGCTGCTCTCTCGAGATGTTTTAGACAAATTCTATAAAAGAAGAGTTGTTCACATTGACTGGTTGCTGGGTTTTTTTTTTGAGGGGACAGGGACACTAACTAAGGTTAGGAAAATGGATGTAAATGTTTATTTATGAACAATGAGTACTGGTGTCAACAGCAACAAAAATATCAACATTATAGATAAACATGACTTAATGTTTATTAGTGTCAGGTAACCTTTTCAAAAACATTTAGTAATTTAGGAATCTGAGTCCACTGAAAGTTAGTTTTACCCACAGCCCTTTATTTTTAGAAGCAATCACATTTCTCTCCCTAGTCTCTTTCAAAGTTTATTATCAGATTCACTTTGTCACCTCTCACTTAAACTACTTTTAGGCCCCAATCCTGAAAAGAGAACCATGCGGGTACAAACTTCTGCATCTGCACAGTGCTCTACTGTTGACAGCGGGGCTTCACGTGAGCATAGGAAATTCACCCATGGGGCTCTCTTTTCAGGATCAGGGCCTTATTTGTCTCACTTTTTCCAGCATGATCACTTACTATCCATGGCGTGAAGGTATTCCATATGAAGGGCGCCAGCTCCTGCAGTAGCAGCTGAAGGAATAATGTCTGCATATGGGCTGCGCTGACCTGCCAATAGAGCCATCTGATGGTAATATTCAGCTGGACTGACTCCAGCATGTGGAGCTAAGAACACAATATAAAAAAGCACCATTAATGACGTAAGACAAACAAGAGGCAAACTTTTATTACTCCACTGCTTCCCTTTGGCTATTAAACTGGCTTGTTTATTTTTAAAGCAACGCAACATCTGCAATATGCCTGTGCAGTCAACATACTTCAACCAGTGATACTGCAAAGACATCATTCACAAAATGGCAAGACATAAAATATTCATTTACCAGTGACATTTACCATTCACAGTGACCTCATTTTTTATATTTATTTTTTTAAGTGAATTTAAAAGTGACAGACTGACTGGCAGGCCTGGAAACTAATATGTTTTATTTAGTCACATGAAAAGCTAACCACAAGCAGCAAAAGCTTCTCTCCCACGCCAACGTGTCTCAATCTTAACCTGAAACACCTCTTGCAAAGCAGGTCAAGTTCCATGCTCATTCACATCTCCGAACGCCCTACTGAGAATACCAAAAGGATGTCATCAGTGGGGGAATATTTTGTGAAATGCAAAACTGAACTAGGACAAAATAATTTCTTTCAAGCAAATTAGTTGTCAGACAGGAACAATTTATAGGCATTTTTAGCAAAGGCTGGATTCATGTTAATAAGTAAGGCCCCCCCGATCCTACAAACATATACTTGAGTAATGGAACTCATGAGAGTGGTCCCAATGACCTCAATGGGTCTACTCAGGTGTGTAAGGCTCAGTGCCATAGAGGAGAGACGCTGTATATGCCATTACTGTGTTCATGAATCATCCAATCCCCTGCAGATAATCTCCTTTACTCATAAAAAAACCTCTTTTTCTGCAAAAATTATTCATGATCTGTTTTTCCTCCATACAATTTTCAAGCATCACTAAACTCCATGCCATGAACTGAAGTAACATTGGATTAATATTTCATTTCAGTGGCCCTCTGATGCTATTAATAGATGGTTTCATGGATTTAGCAGAAGATTAGTCATTAGAATAGATAGGTTCTATTCTTGTTTCTGCCACAGACTTCCTGGGTGAACTTGGGCAAATCACTCTATCTCTCTGGTCCTTAACTGCTCCATTTGTAAAGTGGAGATAATCATACTTCCCTAACTATGCTCATAAGAATGTTGTGCAGCATGGTTCATTATATCCATAAAGTACTTTGAGATCCTCAGATTTAAGTGCTGTACTGCAACAGAGTATTTTCCTATTTATACTTGTTATTTAGTGCCATTCTTCCACCATTTCATTGGCTATGTTCTGAGTGGAAATACAAATGTAACCACTAATCCTGCAAACACTGAATAATTTTATTCACATAGGACTACTAATGGGTAAAGTGGTTTATTTGCATTAGTGTTTGAAGGATCATGTCCTAAATGAAACACCACAAACACAGGATCCAGGTTTATTCTAAAAGGAAAAATGAAATGGCAGAGTTGGGGTGGGAGCTCCTACAGGAATAGGATTGACAGAGTATTTCACTATATTATAAAATAAAAAGTGTTCTCTGTTATATCATGAGATCTGACATAAATGAAGAATAAACATTATTTTAAATCAAACTTTAGGAAATGTTAAAGAAAAATAAAAGGACTTTAGACAGTGCAGGAAAGGAAACCGCAAGAGAAGTGAGCTGAGAAGCATTCTTCTTGTTTTCAAATTACAAATTGATTTCTAAAATAAATATAATCCACACCTTGCCACTGTCACTTTCTGTAAAATGACAAGAAAAATATTTGACCACAAATTAAAAAAAAACCCCTCACTCATTACACTGAGTCATTGATTTTAAAGTTTTACAGTAGTAGACGACTATGATATCTTTCCAGACACACTTAAAACACTTCCTGAGCTTTCTGACATAAGTGTCTGGGTTAACTAACAATAATATTGGCTGCAAGCTTTAAAATGAAATGCTTCAGAACCTATAAAGGAATATAGTGAGCACATAACTATATTACCAATGTTCCATAAATTGAAAGAATTTTTGGTTTCCTTAAGAAATCTTTCCTTAAGACCCTTTTTAAATACAAGAAATTGGCAAATTAATAATGGCTTGGTTGAAGGGTAATTGAGTTCAGTTATGATGTGCAATTTATTTTTTAAAATATAGAAGTATTTTATAAAAGCAAAGCTCAATGTGGCTACTCACATACGTAAAGTTCCTCATGGGCATATTTGCAGGATTACCCCATTAAGTGGGATTCTAAATCTAGCTCTGCCCTGTGACTGGACCTTTAGAATTTGAGCTGTTCAGGGCAAGGACTGCTGTCCTAATTCTCTTCCCATTTACACCAGCTTTTACACCAGTGTAGCCTCAGTGGAGTTACTCCTGCTTTACATCTGTGTAAATCAGAAAAGAATCACACCCCCTGCATAGTGGGCACTACTGCAATACACCTAACAATTGGCTCAGGTCTCAGCCCCATCTCTAGTTCCTTTGTGTTGCTGTGGGAAATCCATGGGTGGACCAAAGCCAGCAGAGCTGGCTCCACACCACTTGTTTTCCTGGGTGAGTCAATGACATGGTATGCAAAGCACTCAGCCAGATCCTCAGCTGCTGTAGCCATTGTCTACAAGTTGCATAACTTAGAGCAGCTTTAAAGCTGCTCTACATTATGCAATGGGCTGTTTGGCCCCTGGCCATCCCAGGATCAATGCAACTGTGGACTGAACCCCCAAAAAATTATTTAATTGACCTAAAGCAATTTAACTGGCATCATGACTTTTAATAAAAACAGCACAATTTTACATGCCTTCAAATGCAAACTGTGTGTGGCAGAATTTATAATCAAGCCACTTATACCTTTAGCGTTGTGTGTGTACACAGGTATACACTTGTACTATTATTTATTATTTGCAATCCAGTAGAGTCCAAAATGTGGTAGAAACTGTCAACAAACAAGGGAGATTAGGGTCTGATCTGGGTAGATCTGCCTGAATAAGAGCTTTAGAGTTCCATACTTGACTGGCTAACCTAGCTAACTATGAATTCTATGCAACATATTTTACAACCTTTAATTAAATAGTTTTTTTATTGGGATACCTATGAAACTTCATGCTGGACAACAGAGATGGCAGTATGCTGATTTTTTAATTTCCATGTGCAACTGAAGTGGAATTAAAGTATAAGTGAAATTATGTAGGAATCTCATTTGATAGCAGTTATTAAATTGTTCTTTATATCAATATTTTTAAAAAGCCTGTATATGCATAAATTTACTTCATAAGTTATATTACCACTTTAACTCTTTCACTTTATAAATATATGCCATCAAAGTGTAATTACAATGCAACTAAAATGCAATGATAATAAAAGCTATAAATCCTTACACAATTCCTTGTAATTTTTCTTTGTCCACTTATATTTCCCAAGGATTTTGCTGTGTGAAAGCTTCCACTTTCATAATTAGGGCTATTTAAGTATTCAGGACTTTTTTTGGCTCATGCCTATAAATCAAATTATACTGCATAGTTTACATGCTGTATGTATACCACGATACTCACATACATGCATGCACTCTATGGTGGCTATCATCGTGCTATGTAAGTACCTATACATTGAAAATCAAATATATAAATACACATAGAGTATGCAGTAGAATGTTTTAGAATCTATCTTTATTAGCCAATCTCTGGTCTTAAGAGGTGACTCTGCTCAAATACATAAACTGAGTACTAACTTTATTTATTAGGAAAGTTTATTAAATTTTCTTTTATTTGTTTAGTTCCTACAATATGTGCAATTCTGTACACAGTTTGCAAAAATAAATACAATCACTGCCATAAGAGATTACAATTGGTTCTGTTCTAACCTGTCTAATTTGTAGTTTCTTGAGAGATCCCTTAAGACAGATTTTACTGCAGATACAGTGAACGTATGTCTACATCTCTGCATATGTATGTGTGTATGCCAATATACATGTACATATATTAATATAAAAATATTTGTGGGGGAAGGGCATGTCAGAGATTGAGAAAGAGAGAGATGTTTCAAAAAGCTATTAAAAAGTTATATCATATATATTCTACAATAAACATATAGAACTTCTTTGTGGCAAGATAAGGATTTCTGAATAATCACCAAAGTGTTCTTTTAAAATGATTTTGCCAGTCATCAAATAACACTGTTTGTTAAAATAAAATGTGTAGAATTAACAATGATTTACACAACAACCAGGCTGTCTATATCACCAGTGGAAATCCCTACATGCACACATACACTTTGATTGACATTAGGTCATTAAAATTTATTCTCATAAGAAGAATACGCACCCATAACTAATGGATTAGAGTAAAGGTATAGGCTCTTACAAGTGAGGATTAATTAGTCATCCATTTGAACAGAGTACACTACTCATTTTTCAAATTCTGCTAAAGGCAGTTTGTCTGTTTTGTAAATTTGTGTGAGCACTGGGAAGAGCTTTTCCTTAATTAAAATAGTAGTTTAATTATCTTCACTAAATACTCACTTGCTAATTTGGCCCATTTATAACTCCACTCAGCACAATATAGCAATTTTGAAATGTCAAACTACTAATGTACTGTTAAAAAACACACTTCTCAGAATCCAGCCCATGTGTGATTCTGTTCATTGCTCATGAAGGGAAAATTCAAATTTAAATCAATGGGAGTTTTGACTAAGGACTGAGTAGAGATTGCAGATCTTGGTCCTTTATAATTTAGTTTACATCCGAATAAACAGGGAGGTAATATCTACATCATACTCAGACCTCAGGGAACATCACTTTCCTTGTATGCTGCCTAAATGTGAGTCATTTAAATATGCTGCACCTGATCCTGATCACCAATCACATATCTCATATGAGTGAAATTTCATTCGTCTTATCCTCAGCTAGTATAAATTGGTGTAGCTCAATTTAAGTTAAATAGAGATATAATGACCCTCATTAGCAAGTGAGTGTGTTGTTAAGATAATAAAACTGCTATTTTAATAAAGGAAAAGACCTTTCCAACACAATATATCTCTTGAACTCGCTGGAGATATGCTGATTTATACGAGCTGATTTGATTTCAGTGCAGGCATTCCTGATTTACACTGGCTTAAGGTAGGTCAGAATCATACCCACTGTCTGTCCCACAAAAAGGAAGATATTAAAGCCATAAACATTGTTACATTTTTAATTTTGAATGAGAACTTCTTCTTTTTTGCTGAAGTTTCAACGTTTGTGAAATGTACAAATGACCAGCAACAGGCTGATGAAGTATTGAAACATTTATGACATAATAAATATGGGTGACAAATCTGCTGAAGCTGCTTTGAACAAGGAAAAAAAGAGAAATGTTGACAAGATTAATATAACTTAAGTTGCCACAATGACAGCAAACAGGAAGCCAGTCTTAAACCCACCGTCTGTAGGGCTGAGTCCACGGGCTGCCGAGATCATGGACAGAGACGGGCTACTGTGCAGTGATCGGATGTAGTCCATGTAAGGGTTAATGTAAGGGTGAGGAGGGCTGAAGGGAGATTCTGATGTTGCAGCCGGATTTCTGTGTGGGGAAATTCTAATGAACGGAAGATCTGAATATGTTGGGCTACTAGATAAGGCAGAAGGCCTGGAATAAAGAGAGAGAGAGAAAAAAGAAAGATTATCTATATAGTCAAGATCACAAACGTGGACAGAAAAAATAACTGTAAGGTAATATTCATTCTATAAAGAACAACTGGGTTGAACATGCAATAACTTCCACTAATTTCCACTGCCCGGAGAGAAAAGAATAGGGAACGAGTTCTTCTCTGAACCAATTGTTAGTAATATTTCTCTCACCCATTTTTAATGTAAGCCGGTTTTCAGTTTACACGTTACATCACTCCATATTTTTTTTCCTTTGGATTTCAGAAGAAAACCAATCTAACTAGCATTAAATATGTACACCACATATCAATTTCTGCTATAATACAAAATGCATGCTGAGATGCCTAATAATTTACAACTTCTAAAAAGGGATAACTCAGTGGTTTGAGCATTGGCCTGCTAGACCCAGGGTTGTAAATTCAATCCTTGAGGGGGCCATTTAGGGATCTGGGGCAAAAATCTGTGTGGGGATTGGTCCTGCTTTGAGCAGGGGGTTGGACTAGATGACCTCCTGAGATCCCTTCCAACCCTGATATTCTATGATTCTACTGGAAGAAGTTTAAGAAGATCTACCTGAGCCCATTTCCTTGATTTGCCAATTTATCCTTATTGTAAAGTGCATGTTTCTATTTATAAAAAAATTCAGATGATCCACAGTTTGTAAACCACTACGAGGTTTGGGCTTTTCTACAACTATTTTTGACAATGCTCATTTACACGTACGATGCCAAAAACCAGACGGCAACGGAACAAAGGTTCTCCATATGTTTGTTTTTAGCATGGCGCCACAAACTGACCTGACGCCGACAACAAGAATTCAGTAATTAACCACATCACTGTTATTAAGGAGGAACAGAATTTTTTTCTTAAGCTACATCCACGAAGCTGTAACGAACTAAGGCTGAAATGCCACTTCATGGTTGAGGAGGACAAATAACCTGTCCTGAAAACACCCCTTGACATCACACCCTGATAGGACCATGCCCATGCTCTGTGCCGAGTACCTCCTCTCACAGCATCCATGCTCCAAGGCACTGGAAAAAAAAACTTTTTTCATAAGGAAGCGTTGCAGAGCTCACCCATGCCAACCAGTTCTTTCGCGAAAGACAATGATTTAGCCTGTCATGTATTTGCTGTAGTTGAACAAGCTGACCTGAACTAAATGCCTTTTTGTCCCTGTTTTTCCAATTAATTTAGCGTATATACAGAACAGAGACAAGCAGCAGCTGTGAGACCAGTTGGGGCAGCTCATTTCTTTGATGCTGCTGGCTTACACAGAATAATAAAAAAGAGAAATGTATTTTCGTAACATACACACCGCAGTCAGTGGGGGTTGTTGTTTTCACTTATAAGGCAACAAAATGTAATCTGAGGTAAGAGTCAATTCTGCTCAGATATCAGCTCAGAAACACTAATGTACGAATGGGACAAAGATCAAAGTTATTAGTTCTTAACTGGATACCAGACTCCCTGAAAGAAATACACGGGGGTCATAACATTTGGGGAATAAAGATTTTTTTCTATTTCTTTGTATTTCGCCATTTTTTTTTACTTATATGGCACTTGTCTGTTTCTTTCACTGAGAAGGTTATTTTCAAGGTAAACCCCTTTTTGCTTTCCACACCTGAAAATGTCCCTTTGCTGTAACATTTATGTTACGCCCCTGCATTTTTGTGTGTTAAAAGCAGACTCTGGCAATGGAATAATTTCATTGGGACCCAAGCAAATTATCCACAAATACCTAACCAGTGACCAATTAACCTTTACAGGCGTTTAAAGTGTAGTTACAGTTAGAAAAGCAACCATTACTCAAAGCATCTTTTCTCTGTATGTTTTTGAGTTATCATTGCTTTACTGATCAAAACAAGATTTTAATGCTGTTTCCACAGTAAAACTCACAATTTATGGAAGAAGAAACTGGTTTCGTGGTTCATTGACAAAAACTGACATGTAAAGTTCATGTCACAGAATCTTTTTAACTGATAATGATGTAAGGGGCAGAAAGAACACTGCTGGACATCACATCACAGGGTGAGTTTCCCATCCCAGCAGGGTAGAAAATATTGTACTTGGATTGGTTAAATTGAGCAAAGGTAACCTGAAAGTCACTGAGAGCACAAATTTGGAACCTCACAATATCATTCTGCAGTCTTGGTTTTTGGCTATGGTTACAAATCAAGAACTATTAGAAATCCACATTGAATGTCACAAAGCAAAAGCCTTGATGTTATCTGGTGCATATTGATCAGTAAACTGTTCAATGGATTTTGTCAATAGGCTGAAAGTCTATGTTATTCTCAATCATTTGTTCTCCAACTGGTCAACAGCCAAGTAGGGCAGCAGCAAGAACAGGGTTAAGAGCCAGACAAGCCAGCCCACCTCCCCCCTTCCAGATCAAATGGGAGCCATTCAAGGACACTTCCTCCAGAAAGCCCTCCCTCTCAGGGCCCAGCAAGCTTCTGAGAAGACTATGAAAGGCCTTAGGTCCCTGGAAAACATTAATCTCCAACGGGCTAGGAGGAGCAGCATGTACAGGGCAGCATATGGGAATGTCATCAGATTCAATATTAAACTTTTCAACTCCAGACTAATGTTTTCTGATTTCTCCCCAACATCTGAGTGTAACATGCTACCACCCTCCTCTAATCACCTCAGCTACCTTGTTTCACTCTCTTCCCCTCACTATTTTTTATAAAAACAAAACAAAACAAAAACCAGACAACAAAAACAGATCAAAGGTTACATAGCCAAACAAGAGCAAATATTTGTCCTTCCCTTTCTCACACCATTACTATTAGCTGCTTCTTCCTAATATTGGATCTAATTTTAGACTGTAAGTATTTTTGGGTAGGAACTGTGTTTTATGGGTCAACAAAGCACCTAGCACACTTTGAGCACTGTGTAAATAATGGACAAAGAATAAAGCAGCATGGACTTGGGAGATCTTCATAGCATAATTCAGTGACAATCCAACTACAAAAAATGATGGCAGTCCACTGGACATTGGCATGGCACATGACAGATCTTCACATACCCTGACAGATAAAGAATTTATGTAGCTGGTTCTACTTTGGGTCCGAGCCTGCTCCGACTGAATGCAATTGAAACACTTTTGTTGATTTTAATAGGAGCGGGATCACTTTCTTCAGCAATAACTGCTCGGAACGTCACGCCTCATTTTGTAAATTTTGTATCATAATCATCCTTGCCCTCACATAAGTGAAAATCTCTATATCCTGTGGGAGAGTGGAGCTCTTTCTATGTTACCTGCTGTATAATAAGAGGCTTGCAGAGGGAGCAGGCATCTGGTTCTCCACATCCACGGAGATCCGATGTTTTGAAGGAAATCTGCATAAACCCACTGTTACAATCTATCTAATCTACCCATATGTTTTCCTGTAGCATTCATCACCATAGTAGCTAAGTCCCTGGCCCAGGAAAGCTCTTAAGTGTGTGCTTAACTTTAAGCACCTCAGTAACCCCATCCCTCTTCAGCAAGCAGCTAAACAGGTGCTTAAAGTAACTTCAAAGGGAGGTAAGCACATGCAAGTGTTTTGCTGAATTGGGGCCTCAGTGTTGCTGTATCTACTCCCAGAGGCCCTGGCAACACTACTCCTATTGTACTCTGAATAGTTCTTTGGAGACAGAGATGTTTCCAGCTTTCAGTAAAAGAGACCACGGGGCTGTGTTTTACTGCTTCTATTTTTCATAATGGTATATTCAGCTGATTCTCATTAAATCACTTTGTGAGCCAGATAACACCCACCTCCCCAAGGGAAAATCTACAGGTGGAGGCTATGGGAGAAGAAAGCATGGAAGTGCAGGGTTGTTCCTCTTCTGGGATGATTTGTAGGGCGGCCCCAACACCTGAAGGGTCTCTAGGGAACTGCTGGAGACATAACCACCCTGATAAAACCTCCACAGTGGCTCTGTTCACCCAGTGGCCCTCCTCCTGCCTTGCCTTCCGAACGCCCTCTTACCTCCATTGCCCCACCAGAGGAGTGCTTAAGGGAACAGCTAATTGCCCTTTTCCAGGCAATGTCTTCAGGGCTGAAAGGGGACAAGTTGCGCGCACACACACACACGCACACACACACACACACACACACACACACACACATGTCAAGACCACCCCACCCATATAATGCAAGGCTGTAAACCGCCCACTGTCAGTCTACCAAGTCTCTGGCCTCTCCCCCTGTGCAGATACCAACTCTGTAAACAACTCTGCACTGGACGTGAGGAGGGTGTCAAACAGGCAGCTGATCCATCTTCTGTGCAGGAGGGGTACAATCAGCATGTGGGGAGCTTGGGGTTTGAAGCTGGACCAGTAAACATATCTTTCCCATTTCTCATGACTTTTTCTGGATGATTTAATAAAGACGTCAACCTTTTTAAACAACGTACACAGCGATACTTGTTCAGCACTCGCCATTAAGCTATGCAGCACTGCAGATACCGCAGTGTTTAATGTTCACTGTTGTTCAATGTTCATTTTTTATGACCAGTGCTGTACTGTAGGTAAGACATTTGATTTGACAGTTACCTATCAGGGGAGATGGAGTGACATTTTGCTTTGCTGTTTACAACTGCAACCACAGAAATCCTCATCAAACCAATGACCGGTGACATCTTTTACTTACTTACTGTTTAGCTTTTTAAAAACAAAAACTGAGTGCATTCAAAATTCTTTCTGGAAGAGAAGGAAAATTAAAAGCCAGCACATTACAATGGGTAGGAGCTATTAAAAGATGTGACCAAACTGTGTTTTTTTAACTGAATAGAGAGGGAGCAGCCAGGAAACCCGTAAAACAAACATTGAAATATATAGGTAACACTCTTATAGTCAACTACAAACAATAAAATACACCAAAATTATAAATATAAGTGTTGGAATTCTATTGCACTTTCCTTGTAGCACTGAAGAAACATTTCCTCACTTTGTTTCTGCCGTTGTTTTTTTCTCTTTACTCGGGAAGC